TCTTCAGAACATGTGTGTTCACCATTTGTGATTTAAATCTCTTACAAATTTTTAAACTTTTAGTTGAATCTCAGTAATGATTCAGAAAACACGAGTGCCCTCTAGTGGTTATGTATTTCTGAATTCATAAAGAACTTGTTTACATCTCATGATCTCATAAACTGAATTATAATTAAAACATAGAAGTATCATATTAGCCTGACAACAAACAAGATATAATCTAAAATAAAATTTGTTCCCATTCCTTAGAAACTGAAGACTGAAGATAGCCAATATGAGCAACGCATCAAGATAATCGCAATTACCTCGCTCCGTCTTATACTTTACAAAAAAATAGCACTTAGCAAAGCATACAATTTTATTACTATTAGTTTTGTCTCGGAAAATAAACTAATGTTTGCCTAACATTTCAACACCATCTTAAAAAAATCAATATGAATGGATATATAAAAGTATATATATTGTCTATGAACAAAAAAACCCTACAGCTTGTTTTTTGTTTGTTTGCTGTCTTCAAGTGATTCTTGACTCTTGAAAATTGCCTGGATTAATTTTACTAGCGTTTTTCATCAACATTTTTGGGGAGTGCTTTGACGCTACTTGCTTCCTAAGGTGAAAGTGCAATATTGGCTGGTCCAAAATCTCCCAGTTGCTTCACGTCCAAGGAAGGAGTAGAACACATGGTCTCCCAGTTTCTAATCTGGTGATTTTAACCTCTACATAAAACACATTACTAGAGCAACGCATACTACAAAATATTATAATTTCATCTAGGCTTTCAGTTTTGTCGTTGCGGCAGAGCTGACTCAGGAAGACTTTCAGTACTGTATTATGGAACTATTTTTCTGTAGAAGAAACATACACTATTGCCTGGTATGATGGAACATTTTGGATTATAAATCTTCATTGATAAACCACCTTTAATGGTTCTTTCTTCTCCCTGGTCTCCAGAAGCCTCAGTTTGACATATCACCAAGAAAATACTGATGAACCACAGAAAGAAATTCTCTCCATGTTGAAATTAATACAAGAAACAATTGCTTTAGCTTGTGATGAGATTAACAATAACACAAAGGAGATAAAAGAACAATTTTCTAATTTAAATCTACAAACTCAGAAAATAACTACAGAGAAGGAACTAGCAACCCAGAAAATAGAAGGAAAGCTAGAGAATGCTGACACAAATATTGAGGAGCTAAAGGAAGAAACTAATGACCAGACTCAGATAAATGAAGACTTAGAAGACACAACGATAATATTGGAAATGGAAAAGATATTCTACAAATCAAGATTTCAGAACATACTGGAGGATAAGGAAGGAGAGTTGACGGAATGGAAGATAGAGCGGTTAACAGAACTGTGGGGGAATTGGAGAAGGAGGAAGGCTGTTTAATGAATTTCAACAAGCTAGTTCTTCCAAAAATACTTTAACTAAATTGTTTCTCTTGTTTCAAATAATATATACAAAAATAGAGGAAGAATTATTTGATGATCCAAATGCCCTGACTTGGAAAGTTAGTTGGCAAAGGAAGAAAGCTAGAGTAAGACTGAAGAAAATAGAAGCTTTGACCTATTAGAGGGGATGTTATATTACTAATTAGATGTTTAAATATGGTTAAGAATAGATTGCTAGAAATAGAAGTATTATTATAACTAGCTAGATAAGATTTGTAATCAAATATCATATCTTGGTATGAAAAGGTAAATAAGAATATGCTAAGAAGTTTGAATAAGGAAAGCTTTTGGTTACCCAAATATAACTTGTTCTGAAATTATAAATGATTGGGATATTTTGAACATGGATGGGAAATTAAAATTGAAAAAAGTAAAAATAGGATATGGACTGAATAAATGGATATTGAGTGCAAATGCAATTAACATAAGTTTTGGTTAGAAAATATATTCTAAAATGATATTATTGAAACTATTAGAAAAATGTTGATATGCAACTGTACGTTTATTAACAACAGAACTGTATTTGCTTAGTGTGGAAAAATGTCTATTACCAGAAGAAGAGAGGATGTATTGGAGGGTGTAATATTGAGTTTAGTTTGAAGAAGCTTACATGTACCACAGAATTACTAATGGACTCAGTCATCACGTTGTCTATTAAGCACCTGATTGTAAAAATAGAAAATTAATAAAATATTTATTAAAAAAAATATAATTTCATCTGGATTTTATCCTAATTAAACATATATGCATTAATGTTATTATGGTTAAATGTGCTGCATGAAGAATGCAGGCAAACTATTGTAGAAAAAAAGGCATTTTACTGAAACATTGTCAATACCATTGCATTAATAATGGCTTCTCAATTTCCAAAATATGCCAAATAAGAGTCTGGACATCTCAGGTCTCCTATTTCCCCTAATTTTTAAAAGCTATTACTTTTACGTGTTTTTACAAGTACTTGCCAGTATATTAATGGTAATCCTCAACTTATGACTTGACCATTATAATCATAAGTGGTTACGTCATTAAGCAAGAAATCCTTGCTTAAGGGCCCCAATCTCTTGCCCTCCCTGATGCAGCCCTTAAACAAACATCTGGGTTCTTAAGCACAGCACAGATGCCTCAGAAGTGAGACAGGGCCTAGGACATGGGTTGGCAACCCGCGGCTCCGGAGCCACATGCGGCTTCCAGCCTCCTCTGCCATTGGCAGAGAGAGAGAGAGAGAGAGAGAGAGAGAGAGAGAGGCACTTGCACTTCCCTTCTCTCTCTCTCTCTCTCTCTCTCTCTGTGTGTGTGTATGTGTGTAAAAAAGAGAGTGGCCTTACGCTGTTCTCTGACGAGCTGACAAGCTTATTGGGCAGGGCTCCTGCCTTGCCTGCGTCTCTGCAGGAAGCAGGAAGGGCAGGAGACAGCCAGCCCAATAAGAATGTGTGTCAGCTTGTTGGAGAACAGCTTGAAGCCAGCTTGCCAGGTGAGCAGAAAATCGGAGAGAGGGAGAGAGGGGGGGAGAGAAAGAGAGAGGGAGGGGAAGAGAGAGAGATAAAGAGAGCAAGGAAGAGAGAGGGGGAGAGAAAGAGAAAAAGAGAAAGAGGGAGGGAGAGAGAGAAAAAGAGAGAGAGAGGGAGAGGAGAGAGGGAAAGAGAGAGGAAAGAGAGAGAGAAAGAGAGGAAAGAGAAAGAGAGAAAAAGAGAGGGGGAGAGGAAAGAGGGAGAGAGGAGAGGAAAGAGAGGGAGAGAAAGAGAGAGAGAGGAAAGAGAGAGAGAGGAAGAGAGAAACAGAGGGAGAGAGTGGGACAGGAAAGAGAGCGAGAGAGAGAGAGAGGAAAGAGAGAGAGAGGAAGAGAGAAACAGAGGGAGAGAGGGGGACAGGAAAGAGAGCGAGAGAGAGAAAGAGAGGGAGAGAGAAAGGAAAGAGAGAGAGAGAAAGAGAGAGAAAAGAGAAAGAGAGAAAGAGAGAGAGAGAAAGAGAAAAAGAGAGAGAGGGAGGGAGAAAGAGAGGGGGAGAGAGAGGAAAGAGAAAGAGAGAAAAAGAGAGGGGGGAGAGGAAAGAGAGGGAGAGAAAGAGAAAGAGGGAGAGAGAGAGAGAGAGGAAAGAGAGAGAGAGGAAGAGAGAAACAGAGGGAGAGAGGGGGAGAGAAAAGAGAATGAGAGAGAGAGAGAGAAAGAGAGAGAGGGAGAGAGAAAGGAAAGAGAGAGAGAAAGAGAGAGAGGAAAGAGAAAGAGAGAAAGAGAGCGAGGGAGAGGAAAGAGAGAAAGAGAGAGAGAGAGGGAGAGGAAAGAGAGAAAGAGAGAGAGGGAGAGGAAAGAAAAAGAGAGAGAACTCATGCACAGCAGCCTCTATTTCTTTTTAATTAAACTCTTCAATTAAGCTCTCCCCCTTGCGTGCATGCGTGTGCGTGCGCAAGTTTTGCGGCTCCCAGTGTTTTCTTTTATCTGGGAAACAGGTCCAAGTGGCTCTTTGAGTGTTTAAGGTTGCAGACCTCTGCCCTAGGAGGACTAGTGCAGGGCCAGGCCCACCTACCCCAAAGCTTCCCCGCCCCCATCCTCCACTCTCTGTTCCTTAAAGTCTCCACAGATCTTGGCCTTCTCCCTAACCTGCCACCCAGCCATCCAAGCGAACCTAACAGCAGAAGTTACTGGGGTGCAAGGATCTGTCATATAGTTTTAGTTCTCAACTTCCATCCCACCCAGTCACCAAAGGGAGCCAAAAGAGGGGAAAACATATAATAACAAGTTTCAGAGATAAAACAATTATATATCTATATAAATAAAAATGTAAATGTTCGTTTGTTCAAAATCTTAAATCTTCGAAAGTTCTTCACTGATTGCTTTGAAATTTTGACACAACGTTGCATTCGAATACGTGTGTGTTTTTATATACCTTTCTTTTCCATTTAGCCAGACTGAGCCACAGCAATTCGTGGCCGGGGACAGCTAGTATATATATATTGAATCCTATATATTGAATCAAATACTTAACTGTTCAACTTTAACACATTTAAACTTCCTGACAGTGAGAACAATTAACCAGTGGAACAACCTGCCTCCAGAAGCAGTGAATGGAAGTTTTTAAGAAGAGACTGGACAGCCATTTGTCCGAAATGGTATAAGGGGTTGGACTAGATGACCTTCAAGGTTGGACTAGATGACCTTCAAGGGGGGGTTGGATTAGATGACCTTCAAGGTTCCTTCCAACTTTACTACTATTACTACTACTATTATTATTATAGCACATCTTCCCCTAGGTTTAATTAATACATTAAAAACCATGTGAACAGAATTAAATAATTCTACCATTTACTCATACATATTCTCTTTCACACAAAGTTGTATCATATATAGAAGCAGCAACAAAATGAGGTAGGGGAAAAATGGTAATTCTGTTGTTGCTGAACAACAAAATCAGTAGGGGAGTGCAGATGTATCATCCAAAGCCATAGCCAAATGCACAGGTGGCCTGAACCACAGATTTAACATCAATGTCTTAAAGTAATGTTCCTCTGTTCTTTCTGTATTAATGAAAATAGTCTGGGACCAATAACTTACCTTTTATACCTCCAAATGGTCCGTGTGTCATGTTATATGCTGTTCGATAAAGATTGTGTTCATACATACGTTTTAGCTGGTATTGGTTGCCATGTTCTATATTTCCTAAACTTCCTATTAAATAAAAGAAAAGGCTGCCTTAAGTTTGCAGTATTTTCTGTGGAAAATGTATTGTGAAAGATGTCATAATATATTTATGTTACACTTTAATACAGTTGTCAGAATTCAGGTTTCATTAATATAACATATGTCGCCCTCCCCATTCTTTTGAATATACAACAAACTGAGGGAAAAATTAACCATTTATTAAAAGTAAATGCAGTACATTTTTCTCATAAAACTGGAAGTTTTCAGTTTATTCTCTATTTGATCCTGATGTCAAATAGAGAAAACAAAAATCTCCATCATATTGATGGAGGAATAACATCATAATCTCTCTAAATTTTGGTGAACTATTAATTCGTCATCATCTATAACTTGCTATTTAGACTCAACAAAGCTTGGTATCTAACAAGTAAAGAGCTGCAAACTACCTATTTCTTTAGAGGACAGAGAGAAAGTTTTGTTAATCCACTTTTTGTATCAGGGAGTTTTTAAAATATGAAGGTTCAAAACATGTTATTCCTCTACAGATCATCTATTTATGTGGTCATTAAAGATTGACAGCAATTTGATGGCACAATTAAACCATCACATTATTAGCTACAATATAGTCCTTCCAAGAGGGTGCTTCATCTTGTTTCTGTATGTATGACCCAGCCCTTTTACTGTTGATGATTGAAACAAATGAAATGCAGTGAGCTAACCTTGGCTCTAATATAATTACCCTTAATCTTCTTCAGTCAGCTAAGAAAAGATGTTGAGCTGCAAGTTTATATATTAAAGTATGCTTCTATAAATACACTTTCAAAAAGAACTTATATCTCCTGATACTGTGCTTTATAAGTACACATGCCATTTTCAAAAGCTCCACTTAATGACTACATCAGAGCAAGCAAGAGTGATAGCTATTAAGCAAGGCAACCACATGGTCACCTTGTTAAATGACAATCATAACTTGCAATCGTAATGGGTAGAGTCCATTATGGTCATAGGTCAGTGATGGCGAACCTTTTAGAGACCGAGTGCCCAAACTGCAACCCAAAACCCACTTATGCATCGTCGGGTGCCAGGTGGGCGTGGCCCATTGGGTGGTTGTGGGCCATTGGGTGGGCGTGGCTGCGGTGATAACAGCAGACTGGGTGGGACTAAAAAGTTCAATCAATCAATTCCAACTTTGCAAGATCTTTTTTTTTCCCGCGAGAAGTTGAAATTGACTGATTGATTGAACCTTTTTTTTGTGTACACGGTGGCGGAGGCCTAAAGCAAAAAGGTTTTATAAAACCCAGCTGAAGGCCTAGGACTGGGGCGACGGCACGCGTGCCCACAGAGAGGGCTCTGAGTGCCGCCTCTGGCACCCGTGCCATAGGTTCGCCACCACTGTCATAGGTCAAGAACTACCTTGCACTGTTAGAAACTTACTTTTCACTGCCACAAATTAAGAGGAAAACTTTTCTAGAAGTACTAGTATTACTTGACCTTTCTAATATTTACTTTGCTAATACTGTTAGGATATATATACAGAAAGGGGTATCTTCTTTTTTATAATACCGTATGAAATAGATTTGGTATCATTACATCTGTAGGAAGAAAAACATGCTATATTTTATAAGTGGAAAATAAGGAAAGTAAGTTTCCATCATAATTTTATTTCTTTTTTACCTGAGACAGCATAGATGCATAATTTTTTGTAATGCAATACAGCCAGATGAAGCAATTCTGTGCCACTAGCGGAAAGGACAAAGATGAAAATATGATTAAAAACACTTCTTGAATATCAAAAATCTAAAAGACCAATAAATCATACTAAATACCAATAGCACAAAACATACAAAGTTTTTTGTACTTAATACTTTAACAATTTTTAATAGCTTTATACTGATGTACACTTATCAAACTTATCTTAAATCCAAACAGAAACTATGTGGCAGCTTAAAGTTCCCTAATTCACTGTCATCTCCTTAATTCATATGATTATAAGAAAGGCAGGACATACAACATAATTGGACTTGCAAAATTCCATCAATATAAGGACTATCAAAACAAATTAGTTTTAGCCTTTCTGTGCAGTTGATTCCTGATTTGATCCACATAATGAGCTAATTTCAATCTTGTAAGTCTGACTGATTTTGTATGGATTTTGTATTTCATATGCAACCTCTCTAAATCACATAGACTCCAGTTAACTTTCTGGAGGTAGCCAAATTTCATAGCTGGGATGAATGGATGGATGGATAATCTGGGCATCTGTACAGCACTGTAATAACCATTAATTATAATAAAATGATGAAACTTATTTAGCTGGATTTATCAGCTGCCCAACTCCAATGGATTCTTTATTTTCTTTTATCACCATAACAAACATCTTCTGTAATAAGTGAGCCAGAAAGAGCATAATTAAATAATGGTGGACTGGGACATAGGTGTCAAAAACCAATCTAGTTAGGATTATGGAAGGCTGTCCCTGAAACTAACAGTTTTCAACAATTACTGACTAGTCTCCAACCTTCCTTTTGGGGGAAAGATTATTGAAAACATGGACAGCTGCAACTGATTATAATTCTGGAGGAAATGGATTATCTAAACCCATTTCAGTCAAGTTTCAGGCTGAGATTTAGTACAATTGATGACCTGTGGCAAAGCCTGCAGATAGGACAACCATCCTTATGCTTCTTGATAGTTGTCAATACCACTGACAAAAATATTCTGAGCCAGTACCATTGGTTGAGAATTGAGGGCTGTGTTTACAATGGTTCTCTCTCTTTCTCCTGGATCAGTTCCAGTCAATGTTATTTGGAGTCAATTCCTAGGCCCCTCCTTTGAGGATGCCTCAGGGTTGTTATCTCTCTCCTTTTCAATATCTACATGAAACCACTAGATCAGGTCATTTGCCAGCTTGGAATTAGGTTTCATTACTATACTAATGATAGCAAATTATATCTTTTGACCCCAGGTCAGCTAAGTGAGTATATCAAGATTTTGTCCTCAGTGCCTGGAAACTATTTGGGTTTGGATGAGGAAGAACCATCTCCACCACAATCCACCAAGAGTGAATGGCTGTGGGTGTTTTGACCACTCAGATCTAGAGCTATTCCATATTTGAGGCCCTTCCCCCTTCAAGGTTGGTGCACAATCTAAGAGTTTTGAATTCACAGCTCCTGCCTGAAAAGCAGATGGGAGTTCTGGCCATGAAGGCCTTTGAACAACTTCATCTGGTGAAACAGTTGCACCGTCTCTTATATCAGACGAACCTTCAGATAGTCACTTATGCTTTAGTCACCTTGTATGACAAAATTAGTAGATCAGAGGAATGCTGTGGATATAATTTACTTGGACTTCAGTAAGGCATTTGATAAAGTAGACCACAACCCACTACTTGATAAGATAGAAAAATGTGGGTTAGACAACATCAACACTGTAGCTGGCTGACCGGCCATACTCAGCGTATGGTCCTCAATGGAACTGCATCTACATGGAGGGAAGTGTGTAGTGGGGTACCCCAGGGCTCTATTCTGGGCCCAGTGCTCTTCAACATCTTGATCAATGATTTGGATGAGGAGATAGATGGGGAACTCATCAAATTTGCAGACGACACCAAGCTGGCAGGAATAGCCAACACTCCAGAACACTGACACACTTGAACATTGGGCACTATGTAACAAAATGAAATTCAGTGGTGAAAAAAGTAAGGTTCTACATTTTGGCATGAAAAACCAAATGCATAGGTGGTACCTTGCTCAATAGTAGTAACTGTGAGAGGGATCTCGGAGTCCTAGTGGACAATCACTAGAGGCAAACAAAATCAATACTAAAACCTTATTGCATTCTTTGACCAAGTGACAAAATTAGTGGATCAGAGGAATGCTGTGGATATAATTTACTTGGACTTCAGTAAGGCATTTGATAAACTAGATCACAACCTACTACTCAATAAGATAGAAAAATGTGGGTTAGACAGCATCACCACCAGATGGATACGTAGCTGGCTGACCGGTCGTACTCAGCATGTGGTCCTCAATGGAACTGCATCTACATGGAGGGAAATGTATAGTGGGGTGCCCCAGGGCTCTGTTTTAGGTCCAGTGCTCTTCAACATCTTCATCAACAATTTGGACGAAGGGATAGATGGGGAACTCGTCAAATTTGCGGATGACACCAAGCTGGCAGGAATAGCCAACACTCCAGAAGACAGGCTTAAGATACAGGAGGATCTGGACAGACTTGAACACTGGGCACTATCTAACAAAATGAAATTCAATGGTGAAAAAAGTAAGGTTCTACATCTAGGCAAGAAAAAACAAATGAACAAGTAGAGTATAGGGGGTACCTTGCTCAATAGTAATAACTGTGAGAGGGATCTCGGAGTCCTAGTGGACAATCACTTAAATATGAGCCAGCAGTGTGCTGCAGTTGCCAAAAAAGCCAACACAGTGCTGGGCTGCATTAACAGAGGGATAGAATCAAGATCACGTGAAGTGTTAATACCACTTTGCAATGCCTTAGTAAGGCCACATTTGGAATACTGCATCCAGTTTTGGTCACCATGATGTAAAAAAGATGCTGAGACTCTAGAAAGAGTACAGAGAAGAGCAACAAAGATGATCAGGGGACTGGAGGCTAAAACATATAAGGAACGGTTGCTGGAATTGGGTATGTCTAGTTTAACGAAGAGAAGGACGAGGGGTGACATGATAGCAGTGTTCTAATATCTCAGGGGCTGCCTCAAAGAAGAGGGGAGTCAAGCTATTCTCCAAAGTGCCTGAAGGCAGGACAAGAAGCAACAGATGGAAACTAACCAAAGAGAAAAGCAACCTAGAACTAAGGAGAAATTTCCTGACAGTTAGAACAATTAATCAAGGTCCCTTCCTCCAAGGTCCCTTCCAACATCATCATCATCATCATCATCACCATCATCATCATTTGCTCTACATATGGCTTGTGGAACTACCTGTCTCGCATAACATCCACACAGCCAATTAAATCCTGCAGAGTTGGTACACTTTGAGTTCTTTCAATTAAACAAAGACATCTGTTGGAACCCTGTCTTGTCTATAGCAGTGATATCCTCTGCAACAAAATTGTCCCTGAAATCCAGATGGTCCTCACACTGCTATTGTTTAGAAAAACTATGAAGGTCTGGCTTTTTACCCCAGCCTTTCTTGGTGGAAAGTGAGACCTCTTGCTAACTTCCATTTCATCTGTTGTGCTTGCAATCTTTTATTGTTATCATTTTATTTACTTATTATAATTTGTTTGATTAGTTGAGTTGCCCAGGGTTGTTGAGTTAGGCAACATACAAGTTTAATAAATTTTTAAAATAATAAATACATTACTATTATTTATTTAAAAATAACTCTTTTTGCAAGTTGTCACCCTTAAAAATTCAGTTCACCTCTTTTACTTACCATTATTGCTAACGTGGATATTGTGGTAAACTATAATTCAAGAAAGCCAAGAAACAGTGGAATATATTATTGGAAAGTGAAAGATGATAACATATTTCTGATTTTTTGATAAATGTCTAATTAAATATAAAATTAACAAGGCTTTTTTTTCTATTCTCCTAGAGCTATATTAAGAAACCTAATACTTATGACTTCTACATGGATTACTGCCTTGTCATGGCAAAGGGGTTATGCCGTGCAGGGCCACCCAAGAGGGACAGGTCATAGCAGAGAGTTCTGACAAAATGTGACCCACTGGAGAAGGAAATGGCAACCCACTCCAGTATCTTTGCCATGAAAACCCTATGGACAGTACCAAAAGGCAAAAAGATATGATGCTGGAAGATGAGCCCCTCAGGTCGGAAGGTGTCCAATATGCTCCTGGGGAAGAGCAGAGGGCTAGTACTAGTAGCGCCAGAAAGAGTGAAGCGACTGGGCCAAAACCGAAAGGACGCTCAGCTGTGGATGCATCTGGTGGTGAAAGGAAACTCCGATGCTGTAAAAATCTTTTCTTCATAGGAACCTGGAATGTAAGATCCATGAATCAAGGCAAACTGAACATGGTCAAACAAGAGATCACAAGACTGAATATAGACATCTTGGAATCAGCAAACTAAAATGGACAGGAATGGGTGAATTTAATTCAGAGGACCATCAGGTATACTACTGTGGGCAAGAATCCCTCAGAAGAAATGGAGTAGCCTTCATAGTCAATAAAAGAGTAGGAAAAGCAATACTGGGATACAATCCCCAAAATGACAGAATGATCTCAGTGCGAATCCAAGGCAAACTATTCAATATCACAGTAGTCCAAGTCTATGCCCCAACCACTGATGCTGAAGAGGATGAAATTGACCGGTTCTATGAAGCCCTATAGCACCTTATAGAATCAACACCAAAAAATGATGTCCTTATCATCGTGGGGGATTGGAATGCTAAAGTAGGAAGCCAAAAGATAACTGGAATAACAGGGAAGTTTGGCCTTGGAGTACAAAATGAAGCAGGGCACAGGCTGATAGAATTTTGTCAAGAGAATACAATGGTCATAGCAAACACTCTTTTCCAACAACCCAAGAGACGGCTCTACGCATGTACATCACCAGACGGTCAACACAGAAATCAGATTGACCATGTGCTCTGCAGCCAAAGATGGAGAAGCTCTATACAGTCAGTAAAAACAAAACCAGGAACTGACTGTGGCTCAGATCATGAGCTTCTTGTTGCAAAATTTAGGCTTAAATTGAAGAAAGTAGGGAAAAACACTAGGCCATTCAGGTATGAAC